AAAGGTGTTCCCCATTCTTTAATAAGGTTGTAGCCGCGAGTGACGCATTCCTCGTCGAATAACACTCTCTTTCTTCCCATGTCTTTCGTCACATTCTTAACATCAGAGATTCCAAGGAACTCTTCCATTCTTGACTGACATTTTGCTGCAACATGAGATGTAAGTGCCCATCTTTGTACGGTTCCTTCAGACGTACAGAAGCCGACAATGCCACCAGCACACTTTTGTTCCCTATTGATAGTTTGTTCAATAGCTTGGTCTGATGCTATTTTATTAAATTTGCCATTCTGTCTTCGTACAGAAAAATGGCCTGCTTCAAACTGTTCATAAACTGCTGGATGCGTTTCGGGTAATTTTTGCATATTGACTAAGTAATATGTCAGGAAACGTGCATAATTTGGACGGTCGTAGCCAAATAGCCAAGGGAGCATGTTTTCCGTAGACTGCAGATGCATTTTCCAATCACCGAGTTTGATAGATCGCGTGAAATCGAGCAATATTTGTACCATTTGCAAAATGATGACCAAACTGAAGCTGTTGGACCAAGTGATCCTTTTAAAGATCTCTTTGATACTTGTGTATTTTATCAATAGTCTCTTTATGAACTTCACTGAGTGTAGACAACGATTCATTTGTGTGAGATGACATAAAAGTTTGCATTTCCACGGAGTTAACTAATTCATCGTACCTTCGAGATTTTTCAGGTTGATCATCGAGCCATTCTATAAAACTGTCAAGCATGAGCCTCTTGACCGCGTCGTAAAGATACTTCAGTGCTCTCATTGCATTGTTGAAATGTTTACCTTTGAGCATTTGATCAACAGACGATTCGCCAAGTATATTTGATTCGATTATAATATCGCGAAGACCAGCATCTGCAAATCTCTTTCCAATGACAGAGATAAAATACACAATGAACTTTTAAGATCAATATGTTTAGGATTCATCATGATTTCAACTGCTTTAGAGTAGATCGCCATGTCGAGAACGACATCCGTTTCATTTAAACCAAGTTTTGTGCTTTAAGTTTCGATTGAGTTAGCAGCTCTAAAACAGTATCATGAGAAGTCGGAGATTGGTTGATAGATGGCAGGTATCCAATTTTGTCATAATTATTGCTGTCATTCTCACACACCATAAAGTTAAATTGTCCAATTAGGTGTTTTCTGTTCGAAATTCTTCTTACTTGCTTGACTTCTAGCAATGACCCATATAGTATCAATCACGTGCGAGCGTTGGACTTCCTCTTGGTATAAATCAAGATTAACTGTAATACTTTCCTCTGTATTCTTTCGCTTTACCATTACATAAGATGGTATCTCGTTAGGTAGCGCATGAAACTTCTTACGTTTTGTAGTTGTCTTTGAGACTAATGGCACAGTTGTAAAAGATGGCTCGGGCGTATTAAAGAAAACGTTAGAGGATTGTATCACAATACCATTAGTGCAGTGCAAGCTAAGTCCTTTGAGACTCTCGGGATTAATGTCGTTGTTATCCCACACAAACGTTACAAATCGAAATGGTTGTATTATAGATGGAGTAAAGGATCTGTGGATCTGATTCTTGGCATGTTCCATCGCTAAATTTGTCTCGATCATCAGGACATCGTCGTATGATACTCCGTGACCAAACTTGTTTATCCAATTTATGACATCCTTGGAACCGGTTTTCCTTTTAATTGTAAAAGGAAAACAGATATGTTTTGATGTTTTCTTGGTCCCGTTATTAGCGTGGTATATCAAATCTTGGCCAATAGAAGAAATCAAACGCGAAACTTTTGCAGACTTTTATGCTTTTTCCTAAGTATTTCCTCAAAAGGCATGTTGTTAAGAATGGAACACTCGTGTCTTTTGAAAGGAGCTCACTCTTCGATGGTGGCCAACTGCTGAATGTGCTGGTACTTTCCAACAATTCCTTACGTATTTCACGCCCAACTTCTTTTGTTTTCTCTTCTAATGTCATTTCCCATCGACTGTTACCAAGTTTTGCCCTGACTGTTACTTCGATCAACTGCCCCTTTTCAATGCTGTTGTTATATACATAATCGCTACCATACTTCGGAGACCAGAATCCAACTTTTGAGCCGAAAAATTTGCGAATATTTTCTTTCAGTCGATGAGGTGCTGGCGAACCAATCTCGTAGTTTTCTCCAAACAAACGAATTTTGATTTCCGAATGCATTCTCAGTAAATCGCACATCCGAAAAACTTCGCAACCTGTGATCACCCTGTTTTCGATAACAGTGCAAAGCTCGTTAAAGATTTTCTCACTATCGCATGGAAGTACATTCTTTACATCCCGTTTTCTGCTTATCATTCTGTAACATGTCCTATGGTAGAAGAATTCTTTTGCAAGTATTACCTGCCATTCGCACTCACCAACCATGGCCTGCAAATGAGGGTAATTCAACGAGAAGGAAGCTTCTTGTAAAGTTCGTGCTCCATTTTCTGTTTCACATTTTTCTAAGATCTCATATCCGCTTCCACTTCTTGCTGTTTTGTTTTTACCACATACACAGCATTCATAGTCTGCTAGTATTTTTCCTAAGTAACAACATAAATATCATGAAATAATGTTCCCTTGTACAAATATAACTATGGCATGATAAAAGTAATTTTTCAGTTGTGTATATCATCAATGAAGTTTCTGGAAATTATTACCATTATTTTTGAAAGTTTTTGCTTCATACCTTTCCGATTTTTGCTTTTCTCTCAATTATCGTATTTGAAGTATACTACTCACCGCTACCCAAAAGACTGTTGGCTCAATTCCTCCCGCAAAATTTTCAAAACAAAATGGCGAAAACTTAAGAGTATTCGAAGCTGGTTGACAACATCCTTTTATGGCTTTCACAAGAAAATACACACTGGCCAACAACTGGAAAAGGACTAAAAAGATGGTGTTCTACAATTATAGCATAAAATCAAATTGCCCCATGATATGTTGAGCTTTCTATCATTTTTGAACCACTATCTGCCGGACTATAACGCTAAAATCTACCTGATACAAATATCAAAACTACTACGCAAAAGGAAGCTCTTGTCAATATCATAATCTTGTATTACATGCTACAGATAATATCTTCTACATACATAAATTGCAAGACAATAGGCGCGAGATGTATTGTAGCAGTCGTGATTATAACAATTAAGAACAGCCAGTTTCGCGTACAAAATTGGCACGGTGTGTTCCAAACTGAGGCCATGGCGTTGTTTAATGTTTATATTTTGGTATAATGACGTCATGGCAACGTGTTCTCCCGTTCTTCAAAATGTGTCTGGCACTGACTCGTACGTTTCAGAATATCGGAGAGTCGTGTTTATTATTTAGTATCTTGTACCTTTACGTTTAGTCATTAATTTACGAATTCAACGACACAAGACTGACAAGAGCATAGTGTTTTGGTCATAATGCTAGTCATACTTTACCACAACACACGTTTGCGTGCATTTCGATATCTCTGCAGACAGCGGCCCCTGCTTGTTTACGCACATTGTGATAAGAAAATAATAAAATAACCAGTAAAGCACTACTACTTTGAATTAGAAATCAGAACATTACCTTTCGCTCTCAGTCATCTTTTAATAAACGATAACATTAACGGCGTGAATAATTCGGATGTCCAATGTGTTGAATATAAGAATATTATTCGTGCGCTGATATGTGTTTAAAATTGCGAACGTACAAGACTGTTGACAATCGCTATCAAGCGGCGCCCTTAGAAGCGCCGCTTACTCGATATTCCTCGAATAAGAAGCCTCCAAATCTAGATTAACGCATGCGCAAATGTTCAAATTGAGCTCGAAGGCGCGCTTGCCTTGGTTAATAAATAATTAATTTAATCCACTTAATTTAATACACTTGACTCATCTTACCAGTGTAGCAAAGTGAAACCGAAAACCACGACAGTAAATCGCGTATAAATAGCAAGCATTTCAACTGTAAAGACAATTTAGACAAAAGATTACATTGACATTGTTTAGAACCGAAAAATTTAAACTGATTTTGCTCAGAGATTGATCCAAAAAATTTTTGTTCGGTAAATTGCTTAGGCAAGCGGCGCTTGCCTACGCTTGCATGACCGCACGCCACTGATTAAATGTTTTAAAGATGCGAAAAATTGGTGATCTTTAAAATTTTATCGCGCAATGTAATGTGACTGTGATGTTTTCGCATGATAAATAATGTTAAATATCCCAAGAAAGAAGTGTAAAATCTAGAAATATTTTGTTGTTGAATGATTTGACGATGTTCGTGCTAAGCCAGCTTTAATTTCTTTTTTCGATTGTTTTAAAAAAAGCTACCGAAACGATGCTAAGCCGGCTTTTCCTACATTAATTTCAGATGATCCGAAATAAATTTGACTCTTTTTTCCCCCCGTCACTGACATTCGCGGAATGTTCAAACTCTTATAAAGCTACGAAACTGTATTTTTTTAATTGCGTTATAGAATGATGAAAAAGAAATCTCAAGTTTGCAAGATGAGGTGAAAAAATGCAAAGAGGAGAAAAGGAAAGTGATTAATGAAGTCGAACAACATGATGAAAAGATTAAATTGGTGTGTTTATTGATAATTATTGGACGACGTTGTGCATGATATCAAGAATTGCTCAGACCCGAGGTTAATGTTATATGTTGAAGCAAAGCTCTTGATAACATGCAAAAGCAGAATTCAAGAATTGTTGTATCATACAATGATAAATGCAGAATAGCCTTTAAGCTATTTTGTACGAAAACCACAAGGTTTTTCACATGAAATAATCTTAGCGTTTTGCTTTCATTTCCTCTCCCCCCCGTCAAATCTAGTTGCAAATAAAGGAAATTGGTAGTTTGGATAAAGATGTTGGTAAGGAAGATGTGGAAGATTTGCTGAAGAAAAGTGACATTCGCTGTGAAGAAACTAAAGAAAAATGGGCGAAGAAATTGAAGTCTTAAAGGACAGTCTTGCAGCTGTTATTTCGGAAAAGGAAAATATATTAATAATATTGAATAATTGAAAACGAAGAACATGGAGACGATCAAGACACTTCTTACCATCGCTCAAACGGATGGTAATTACATCGGGAAGTCTTGGCTCGAGGTAGAGAGAATCATCTTGCTATATATTATGGTTGGTGTCTACGACTGAAAATATGATCGATTGTTTTTTCATCAAAGGAAAAAGTCTAGGTCTTGTCTGTAGTCTTATCTTCACGATATTGCTACAGTCTTTCATTTTTCCAAGTGCTTTGTTGACCGTATTTCATACCCTTCATCAGAGAATCGTATCACAAATGTACATCTGTAATAAATATACATAAGAAAATGAAGTTTTTTCTCAAGATATTTTTTATTTGAAGATATTTTCTACGTATGTATTTAACGTTTATGTTCGTCTTGTTGAACACTCGTTTTCGTTGCTCAAATGCTCGTTCCGCTCGGCGCATATTTTTACGTTTCCCTAAAGTCATTGTTTTCATTCTAGATACTGAAATGCATTTCCCAACTTGAATTGGCTCAACTTATCGGTACTGGTGTGAAAACGCGATACCTTCACACGGCGTCCAGCGGTGTTACTAATTCACCCACAGCATTCATCGAAAACAACAAGACATCTTATGATATAACCTCAGGTTGCTTATAACATTGTTGTGACGCTCATAAATGTCAAATACTAACGTTGGGTGCTTTTCTTTGTTTGTATTTCTAGGAAGGTCGGATGCCTGTTGCCGCTGACTCGAAAAAAGCGGCTGGCACACAGGAAGCCATTTGGGAGACCGTGTTTATTTATGTATTAGTGAATATGACTTTATAAAGTAGTGAGACAATGTAAGGTCATGTGACAGACACATTTTTGGTACTAAAGTATACAACAACAGTGAAGATGACTTTATAAAGTAGTGAGCCAATGTAAGATGTTGACCCTCTAAATTTCCTTTACAGGCTGGCAAACTCCAAATATTTGACGTTTCGTCTGGTTCATTGCTTTAAACTGTGGACGCACACGATGGGGCTATTTGGTCGTTGTGTTTAGCTCCCGATAATGTAAGGAACTTTACTTCATTTTAAAAACATATTTTTGGTGTGGTCGTTGGAAAGCAACATTTTTGACAAAATTTGTTGACTCCCATGCCCTTTTATAATATATTAATCCTAACACTGTTTTGAATATGCACATGAAAAACATGTGACTTGGACGAGATCTGAACTCGTACCGTCGGGATTCTAGTCCGCCGCTCTACCTGTTGAGCTACCAAGCCTACAGGGATTTGAGACGAGTCAAATGTCTTTTAAACTCCGTATGGACGAGAGACTCGCCACTATAACAGTTTACTGGATGGCACCGTGTTTTGACTTTATTCCAAAGCCATCATCAGAGAATATATATAATTTATTCATCCTAACACGGTTTTTAATATGCACATGAAAAACATGTGACTTGGACGAGATTTGAACTCGCACCTTCGGGATACTAGTCCGCCGCTCTACCTGTTGATCTACCAAGCCCACAGGGATTGGAGACGGGATTTGGATTAATATATTATATATATACTCTGATGATTGCTTTGGAATAAAGTCGAAACACAGTGCCATCCAGTAAACTGCTATAGTGGCGAGAATCTCTCGTCCATACGGAGTTTAAAAGAGATTTGACTCGTCTCCAATTCCTGTGGGCTTGGTAGCTCAACAGATAGAGCGGCGGACTAGTATCCCGAAGGTGCGAGCTCAAATCTCGTCCAAGTCACATGTTTTTCATGTGCATATTAAAAACCGTGTTTGGATTAATATATTATGTATATACCATGCCCTTCTTAATATGCTTTCTTTCGATTATTTCTGTAACAGAAATAGCAGCGCTCTTTTTGTTTGCAAACTTAAGTTATTCTTCTGCTTGTCATTTTGTAACTCCTTGAAGTGACATATGCTTCACTCTCCCCTCGTCCTCATATATTCTTTCAGTGAATTGTTCAGAGGGATCTCTAGACTACGCACATCTAGAAATGATAATTTCATCAATTTCTAGACGCTATTCGCCTCAGGAAGTGGTGACAAGGATGTAAAATTTTGGGAATTTGATTTGATTACGGATGATGACTATTCAACTACCAGGTATTAAATAGTTTGCATGTAAAGCAACGTTTGCACTCAACGTGATTTTTCACACGTGATCTTTCTAAGACGAAAAATGTCCATTGTCTGTCGGAGCAAAAACAACTTCATGTACTAATTCTGTTAAAGCTTGTCTTGTAATGTTTTTTCTCTTGTTTTTCTTGTGCATTTCATGATGTTTGTAAAGAAAAGTGGTTAAATGTGACCGTCCGCTTTTTGTTTGCTCAATCTCAGCTTAACATTTTCTAATTGTATGATTCAATATTTTCTAATTGGTTTATTTTTTTCGTTGTACAATTGGGAGATTCATTTTGTATTATTTTGTTTAGTCAAAGATTAAGTATTTGTCATGCACGAACATTAAAGATGAATGATGACGTAATGTGTGTAAAGTTCAGGTTAGTTGTTGATATATTCGTTACTGTGGGGGGGAGGGTTTATGTACTTATGATCTTTCGTTTAATCACGTGCCAACCTTCTTTGCAGTCCAAATCAAAAGTTTATGCCGTGGCTTTGCTTGATTTTACAATGAAAATTTTCTTCACTGATACATTGAAGGTAAGTTTTTAAATATTTTTGTACGTAGTTGATGATATTGGATAGCAGCTGATGGTATTAGATAGCAGTTGATGATCCTGGATAGCAGTTGATGTTGGATAGCAGTTGTTAGAATATTTTCATTTGTTGCTGTAGATCACTTTAAAGATGACTCCTTGTACGAAATTCTCCCATTTGTTTTTCTATGAATCACGATAAAAATGCTCTTTGAGTTAGAACTGTTTCCTTTTCCTAAAAAAAATTCACTAAAAAAATCGACTCTTGTAAAAGAAGGCGATATTTTTGACTTTAAGCTAGTTACGTAACATTGGATTAATTTATGCTTTCCATCAACGTTATAATTTGATTTACAGAAGTCTCAAAAATTTAACTAAATAAACATTTTCCTGTCCATTTATCCTAATTACTTTTGTATTCATTCTTTAAATGTGGTTACTTTTCCCGCGTCGTTATTTAGTTCTTCCTATCCCTCTATGGTCATAAATTACCTGTTGTTACCATGGATATATCAACGGACGTTTTATTCATATGACGTGTGTATCAAAGTATCCACGTTTGACTGTCGTATGCAAACGTGTATTGTGTTTACAAGAAGAATCCTTAGCTTACGTCATGGACGCATACATTTTGTATACGTCACATCCGTTTTAGCTGTCGCATAAATTATACTGTTTTTTTCAAGCTCACAGCAACGGCTTCCAACTCTGTTGTGATATCATGTTTTATAATATGTTTTTTATTTTTGGTTGAAAGAACTTTACCACATAAAATAGAAGAAAAATACGTATACACAAAAGATACATTACGTACCAAGCTGTAAATAAGTCATTTCGCAAAAGCTTTTCGAATTAGATATTTTCGAATTAAATTTACAATGTGAATCAATTTTATATTATGCATAAATTTTATATTAATCAATTTTCTAACTTATGCGACAGTTCAAAAGAATGTAAGTTTTGCTGAGTAAGCTTTTCTTCAATGTTGCTTTAAACCCAAACGAGGAAGTTTGGGTTTGTGACGTAAACTAAGGAATTATAAAATGAGCGATGATGATGAGAATGTAATGAAAATTGATTTGAAACTTTGAGAAAGACGTACATAATGTCAACTACGTATGACCGTGTAAATTTTTACCAATCCTCTGTTGTGGAAGGGAAGAGCGTGTAGCGGTCCATCTCTTGACCACTTTGTATTAGTGAACGCTTTTCAATGGCGTCGTTTTTTATTTTTGAAACTTTTCTCTGTCATTGGATTCGTATTTTTGTCATCCTTGATTCATTTTTTACAGGATAACGTTCTCCTCACTTCTGGTGGCGTTGACAAGAGCATTAAGATTTGAGGTTTAAATTTTGGTGATTGTCGAAAATCAATATTCGCCCATGATGACAGGTACGTACAATGTAATTTTAAATGACAGATACGCAATTTTATGACAGTAATATATGATAGCCTGAAACAGTCGATTATATCCCTACTATACACTCGTATCCTATGTACATCTTCATTATACCCTATTAAACCCTCTTACCCTGGTTACATCATTGTTTCGTCATCACCATACCTCGTATGTCTATAACATACTAGTAAACCACGTCCTCAATTGTTTTATACGTAGATTTCCTGCATATTTTTTACCCGCATGTTATCAACATTACACCCCACAATACCTACATGTACTTTCATTGTATACTTTATATTCTCATGTTATCAACATTATACCTAGTAATACCTACATGTACTTTCATTGTGTATCTGATATTCTCATGTTATCAACATTATACTTAGTAATACCTACATGTACTTTCATTGTATACTGTATATTCTCATGTTATCAACATTATTCCTAGTAATACCTACATGTACTTTCATTCTATACCTTATATTCTCATGTTAACGATATTACACTTCCTAATACCTACATGTACTTTCATTGTATACCTTATATTCTCATGTTATCAACATTACACTTAGTAATACCTACATGTATATTCGCTATTTATATTGTAATAGCTTTAATCTTCTTTTAGTGTCATGGCCGTGCAGTTCGTGCCGAAAACTCATTATTTCTTCAGTGCAAGTAACGATAAAGCGATAAAATATTGGGACGCGGACAGATTTCTTCATGTTACGACCTTAGAAGATCATCATTCAGAAATATGGAGTCTTGCAATCAGCCATGACGGCGAGTTTGTTGTAAGTGTCAAGTATGGAAGGTTTTAGATAATTTTAAACATAAGTTTGCTTGATATGAATGAAAGAATAAACGAAAAACGTTATTATCAATAAGAGTACCATTTACTCAAAGATCAACACTTATTCTTAACACTCCAGTTCCACATGCATTTTATTTTATCTTATAGATCAGTGGGTCACATGATAAATCATTAAGACTTTGGGAACGAACGGACGAACCGTTGTTTGTCGAAGAGGAGAGAAATGGTACTATACGTAGATCTGTTGCTGGAGCTACAAAAATATGCATATAGTACCTGTACTTTCAATGTTTATTTTAATTTTTCTATTTAGGAGAGGGAAGCAGCTTACGAAGAAAGCGCCGTAACAGGAGTTGAAACAATTTTAAGATTCTTTTTACTATGTAACATGAGATATGCATGTCCCATCTTGAGCCATACTACTATGTATTTGTTATATACTTTCACTATGGAAAATATCTTGTGGAAGTTGCATTTATTGCACTAAATAAATTCATTTATTTAAACCATGATGTTGTTTAGATTCCAGGTGAACAAGACACAGAAGCTGTTAAAGCTGGCAAGAAAACTATCGAGACGATCAAAGGAGTTAGTTTTGTTGTTGTATTAGCATTGCAAGTAAATTTTATTGGTTTTGTGCCCAGTCCCCCCTATAGTACCTGAAAGATACCTCAAAATCATACAGATATATCGAAAACTGTAGTACACCAAAGACATGTGAAGACTGTGCATATATGAGGCCAAATGTTTAAGCTTACATTCAGATGGAGTACTTGGAGGATATTATAGTAGAATACAGATACTTGCAAGATAATACAGTTTGATTGTGATACTTGGAGGATATTATAGTAGAATATAGATACTTGGAAGATAATACAGTATGATTGGGATACTTGGAGGATATTGAAGTATAATATATAATATACGCCTGGAGATTACTATGTTGATGTTTGTTCTCTTATCTCTTCATTAGGCTGAAAGAATCATGGAGGCCATTGAATTGTATAAGGAAGAAAGACAGAAAGAACTTGAACATAAAGCGAGTCAAGTGACAAAAGACAAAACGGTAGGTTTGTTATTTCTTGCTCTTCACATCTATAAAATGTTTATGTTATACGTATGGACAATCTTAAATCTTAAATGAAAGGTTTGTTATTTCTTGCTCTGCACATCTACAAAATGTTAATGTTTTACGTATAGACAATCTTAAATCTTAAATGAAAGTTTTGTTATTTCTTGCTCTGCACATCTACAAAATGTTTATGTTATACGTATAGACAATCTTAAATCTTAAATGAACAATCTTAAATAACCATGACCGGCAACATAACAAAACTTTCCGAGACGAAACACCCTAATTGGGGCAACGCCCTACACTGTTATTAAACCCTACGTGTGAAACCACCGCCAATATTTTCTTACTCTCTAATTTGGACCACGCCCTGCATCGTTATTTTACTCTACCCATAAAACCACCAGTAATATTTTCTTACTCTCTAATTGGGGCAACGCCCTACACTGTTATTTAACCCTACCTGTGAAACCACCGCCAATATTTTCATACTGTTTAATTGGGACCACGCCCTGCATCGTTATTTAACCCTAACCATGAAACCACCAATAATATTTTCTTTCTCTCTAATTGGGACAATGCACTACACTGTTATTAAACTCTTCTACCAATGAAACCACCATTATTTTCATACTGTCTAATTGGGACCACGCTCTGCACTGACCTACCCATGAAACTACCACCAATATTTCCACACTCTCTAATTAGAACCACGCCCTTCGCCCTTCACTATTGTCTGATTTATACAGAAAATCCCAGTTTCGTTTTTTACACAAGTTCTTTTTGCTCTCACATACATTTTCTTTCCTTTGAACAGCTTCCAAAGCGCATCCGATTCTTGCTGCCTTTGGTAATGTCAGTGTAAGTTTATTATATCTTCAATGTTTCTATTTGAGAATCACATGAAGGCCACGTGGTACAAGGTGAAAGCCACGTGCATGTTGAACATGATTAATGTAAATATTAATGTAATGTTAAGATTGCAAGATTTACATACGTACGTACGTAGATAAGGGAAAATGGATGAGATGGCTTTACATTTATAACAACTCTAGAAAGTTAAATAAAATACACAGGATTTGTAATAATGAAATAAAATATCTTGACCACGAAGATGGAGGCCATAAATATTGTTGTTCTACGATTGAATGCCTGTCTATGTCAACCTCCTTTTCCCGGACCATAAACTTACGACGTTTGTAAAATATTTTTTCTTCTCACAGCCTGTACAGTACGTACTTCTAGTGGTGAAAAAAGTAAAGTCAAGGTAAGGTTGAAGTATTATAAAGAGCAGCAAATTATCCCGTGAAGAATCGTTGTTTGTACTAAAAGTTAATTTAGAGCATTTTAAAGGTAAAGTATGGCAAAGTGTCTCGTTGGAGTTACGATAGGAATTAAATATTAAGCGATATTAGAATACAGTAGAGAGGTATCTTATGAAGCAAGTGTTTTCTACAAAACACTTAAATTATTCAATTTCAGTGAACTTGAAGAATCATTGCTTGTGTTACCGTTTGACTATGTTATTGATGTACTGAAACTTCTTCTTGAGTGGATTAAGGTAAAGTGAAATGTATTTTGACTCCTGTGTCATTAGTTTACATGGTACAGGTTTCGTTTTCAAATTTTGCTAATCCCAGATGTACGTGATTGTTTAGAATGGTTGGGAAACAGAGTTAAGTTGTCGATGTTTGTTCTTTCTGCTGCGGTAAGATTAATACGTAATTTTATTTTTGGTTTCCATCGATATTTTTTTCAATACGTCGGTCTTTAAATCATTCCCTAAGAATGTCATCACGTTCCTTTAGTATTACTGAATATATGATACAATTGGTGAGATACCTATGTACAATGTTGGATATTTTTCATTTTTTTCATATTTTGTTACTATAGAATGCATCACAACAAGATCATATCCACTCCTGAACTACTGCCAGTAATAGACTCTATCAGATCACATTGTCGTAGCCGAGTTCGCGAAATGAAGGTAGGAAGTTGTACGTTTATGAAAACGCAAGTATCGCCAAATTTCTCCGTAATTTTACCATGCGCTACACGACCGTTAATTTATTCGTGGTAAATTTTGTCGACACTTTAATGACTGTAAACTTAACACGAAAAAGTCGTCAATTTTGAGTGGTTAAGAGCATATAAGGCTTTCTTTCACATTACAGTGCCAATCTTAATACTGAGTTTGGCTTTGTATTAAAAGATTCATAGAATATTCTTTTGTGTATTAACAAGAGAAAAAGTATGTATTTAGAAACAAAAATATTCAAGAGTATGAAGATTTCATTTTTTTCTCTAGTTTTTAATAAATTAATCGTCTTGAGTTTTGAATTGTGTCTCAAACTGCCACAGATGACTTTTGCAATTATATGAACTGAATAAATTTTCTTGAATTTTACATCGACGCCGATAAAACTATGGCACACTTGTAATGATTGCTTTATCTTTAGGATACTGTTGGATTCAATTTGGCGGGACTACAGTTTATTCAAAGACAGCTTGAGAATCGTGACGTCACATTCTTTGGCGAGACACGCGAGAGACTGGGACAAATACGAAAAAAGAAGACAATTGTGAGGAAATTTCGATGAAGGTTATTTTGTTGTTGATACTTTGACAATTAAAACGATTGTCTTCAAAAGTACACAATGGCTTCGGTTGATTTCTGTCTATAGCCATCTTCGAAGATCCCTAACCCAAACTGTACCCCTAGAGGGACAAGGAAAATCCCCGTGTGCCCTTTAAATTACAATTTTCGTGATCAGCAGACGTTTAAATTTTGCATGATTCAGCAGTTATTGATACTGGATCAGCCTTAAAAGCTAAAGAAAAGAATTTCGATCTTGGTATTTTAATAACTAAATATGGGCTAGCCAGACATGGACAATCGGAGTCTTTTACTTCTATGACATTGAAATACATTTTTGCGTCTAATTCTAGCTCCCAGCTACATAAATAATCTTACTGCAAACTGATTTCAGAAAAGTTAAATTTAAATGAAAGTGAGATCATCAAATTCAACATCACAACTATCGGTGAATACCTCCATCGAATGAAAATATAGAATTAAAATAAGTTATTACATTACGTGGGAGTAATTCCAACTATAAACAGGAAGAAATAATGAATCGATTAACAATTATCAAGCAATTCACCCATCTACAAAACATATAAACAAAAAATGTATTTTATGAGTTACCAAAATGAATACAGAAAAAACTGCATCCTCATATGACAAAGTCTGGTCATTTCAGCATTCAACAAAAGGGATGTAAAATTGTCATGGTTCTTCTAAGATATGGATTTATTTTCATGAAAATGACCCAACAAACATTTCACTCATTTTAAGGAGCTTTACAACTTCAGACTAGATAGATTGCAAACGTACTAATCTCATATACACTGTAAAAGTTCCATACAAGTTTCTTAGCTAACAAAAAAAACTGTTCCAGTAACTAAATGACTATTGAAAACTTGAAAATACAAATGTTTGTATTGAATATTATCAAGAATATATTTAAACTTTTTATATACAACTGTTGTTGTTAGGACTTTAGTGTAAATTTTTCTTTAATTCACGGACTCCAAAATCTTGTAGAAATGTAGAGGAAGTACCAGGAACACGTAGATACCAAAGATAGATAATCCACGATAGATTTAAGTGCTAAAATTTTCGAACGAAGACGAGCGCGTGATAAACAAAACAACCGCCGATCGCACCAATTTATAAACTTTGATTTCTCGGCGAAAAAGGACCAATTTCAGCCAATAAACTCTTGAAATGATCGCTAGACTTTTAGCTACAAGATTATACCATAAAGTAAGCCAATGAACAATTTTGAAGGAAGAAGATCAAAATTTCGAAGAGCACCGCCGGAAAATTCAATGGCCTTGCATTTTTTGACCTTACTGTGGCAAGATATCAGGCCGTGTAATTTAAGTAGGCCATGAAGCTTCAAAGTTAATTTCTTTAGTATTGCTCGTTCATAACAATCTTTTGCTTTTGTACTCTCCCATATCACTGTAAACCAAACCCAGATTGTTGTACGTTGTCACGATATTAACATGGTCAGGTCCAAATGCTTTCGTTTGAATTTCCATCGCTTGTATGCAAAATGTTTGTCTTTTCGTACTCTCCTATTTTACTGTAAACAAACCCAGATTGTTGTAAGTTGTCGCGATACTAACATTATCAGGTCCAAATGCTTTTGTGTAAATTTCTAATGTTCGTTCGTAAAAATCATTTGCTTTTTCGTACTCTCCCATATCACTGTAAACGAAACCCAGATTGTTGTACGTAGTCGCGATATTAACATGGTCAGGTCCAAATGCTTTTTTGAACTTACATCGCTTGTTTACAAAATGTTTGGCTTTTCGTATTCTCCTATCTTACTGTAAACAAAACCCAGATTGTTGTACGTTTTCGCGATATTAACATGGTCAGGTCCAAATGCTCTCGTTTGAATTTCAATCGCTCGTTCATAAAAATCTTTTGCTTTTTCGTACTCTCCCATATCTATGTAAACCAAACCCAGATTGTTGTACGTTGTCACGATATTAACATGGTCAGGTCCAAATGCTCTCGTTTGAATTTTCATCGCTCGTATGCAAAAATGTTTGGCTTTTTCGTGCTCTCCTATCTTACTGTAAACAAAACCCAGATTGTTGTACGTTGTCGCGATATTAACATGGTCAGGTCCAAATGCTTTCCTTTGAATTTCCATCGCTTGAATGCAAAAATGTTTGGCTTTTTCGTACTCTCCTATTTTACTGTAAACAAAACCCAGATTGTTGTACGTTGTCGCAATATTAACATGGTCAGGTCCAAATGCTTTTGTTTTAATTTCCATTGCTTGTTCAAAATCTTTTGCTTTTCGTACTCTCCCATATCACTGTAAACCAAACCCAGATTGTTGTACGTTGTCGCGATATTAACATGGTCAGATCCAAATGCTTTCGTTTGAATTTCCATTGCTCGTATGCAAAATGTTTGCATTTTCGTACTCTCCTATTTTACTGTAAACCAAACCCAGATTGTTGTACGTTGTCGCGATATTAACATGGTCAGGTCCAAATGCTTTCGTTTGAATTTCCATCGCTTGTATGCAAAATGTTTGGCTTTTTCGTACTCTCCTATTTTACTGTAAACAAAACCCAGATTGTTGTACGTTGTCGCGATATTAACATGGTCAGGTCCAAATGCTTTTGTTTAAATTTCTAATGTTCGTTTGTAAAATCTTTTGCTTTTCGTACTCTCCCATATCTTTGTAAACCAAACCCAGATTGTTGTACGTTGTCGCAATATTAACATGGTCAGGTCCAAATGCTTTTGTAATTTCTATTGTTCGTTCGTAAAATCTTTTGCTTTTTCGTACTCTCCCATAATGTTGTGAACAAACCAGATTGTTGTACGTTGTCGCAATATTAACATGGTCAGGTCCACATGCTTTCATTTCAATTTCCATCGCTCGTTCATAAAAATCTTTTGCTTTTTTGTACTCTCCTTTATTTCTGTAAACAGAACCCAGATTGTGGTACGTTGTTGCAATATAAACATGGTCAGGTCCAAATGCTTTGGTGTAAATTTCTATTGTTCGTTCGTAAAAATCTTTTGCTTTTCGTACTCTCCCATATCTTTGTAAAACAAACCCAGATTGTTGTACGTTGTCGCAATATAAACATGGTCAGGTCCAAATGCTTTCATGTAAATTTCCTTCGCTCGTTCATAAAATCTTTTGCTTTTGTACTCTCCTATTTCTGTAAACAGAACCCAGATTGTTGTACGTTGTCGCAATATAAACATTATCAGGTCCAAATGCTTTT